CAGCCAGCACCGCCTTTCCCTTGTGTCGGGCAGCCACGCTGCCTACGCCCCACAGGCGTTGGGTTTGGAAACGGCACCTGCGTGCGATCTGTGAACAGAGGGGTTGAGAGAGAAACCGATAAACGCTGAAAAGAAGCCCTATGTCAGGCTCCCGGTCCATGCATTTCTGTAGTGCCTCTGCCTCATATCCGGCTTCCAATAATACAGTCTTCATTACTGTAACATAATGCGTTCTACTCCTGTTCCATGTGACAGGCGTTGGGTTTGGAAACGGCACCTGCGTGCGATCTGTGAACAGAGGGGTTGAGAGAGAAACCGATAAACGCTGAAAAGAAGCCCTATGTCAGGCTCCCGGTCCATGCATTTCTGTAGTGCCTCTGCCTCATATCCGGCTTCCAATAATACAGTCTTCATTACTGTAACATAATGCGTTCTACTCCTGTTCCATGTGGTTCATGGATATTTGGCAATAAACACATGGAAAAACTGCAATTATGCTGAATCTTTGACTGTGTGCTAACTTTTTTTGCTGTTGTGTGTGTGACTAAAATGTTATTAAATAAAAGTGTATTTAATTTTAAAACAGGCCAATATAAAAACAAGATCCTGCAAACCCTTATGCACTCTTAGCTAAATGAGTGTTAAAACATCTGGTATTTTTGCCTATAGACCTTTAAATGTTAAGTTTCCCATATTTCCAAAGGAGCTGCTGTGTTGTCTGTTCTCAAACATATGCATTATTATTGCTTTTTTTAGATGATGAACTAAATCTCTTAGTCGTCATCGTTGACACCAACCCTATCTGGTGGGGGAAGAAAGCACTAGGACAATCAGAGGTAAGGCTTCCTGACCAGCATCAGTCACAATGTAGTTTTCCAGAAGACTTTTCTGTAATTTTTTAACAGTTCTGTTTTAAATGAATGACAATCCAAATTGCAGTGCATTTGTTGAAGAGAAACTGTGAAATACTTTTTGAATACAAAATTAGAATAATACTACACAACATAAGACCGGTCATATTGGGTAAAACCAAAAGTTCATCTAGCCCAGTATCCTGTCTTCCAGCAGTGCCACGTGCCCCAGAAGGAATGAACAGAACAGGTAATCATCAAGTGATCTATTCTATGTTACTCATTCCCAGTTCTGGTTAACAGATGGTAGGGCAGGCCTGGGCAAAATCCGGCCCAGAGAAACCCTAGACAGACTCCCTATTTGCCTCGCCCCACCTGCACGCTGCTTAGAAAAGTGGCTGCCAGGCCGTTTCTCTCCCAAAACTCTGAGCTGGGAGGAGTGGGGAGGGCCTTCAGGTGTTTCCCAAATCCCCAGAACAATCCCAGAAACCAGCCAATGGGAGTTGCCTGTTTGAATAAAAGGCAGCCATGAAGCACCATGCCCCCTCCCCTCTGGCTTGTAGTTATTTACACACACACGGCCCTGCAGCCTGGGGAGGACAGGCAGGCAGGTTGCCTGAGAAATCCACTGGAGTGCTGGCCAGGAATCACCTAAGTAAGTGTCCTGACCAGAGCCTGCCTCAGGCACCCCAGCCTCTCCCCCAACACTTTGCCCCCCGCTCCTGCCCTCTATTCCACATACCCAAACCCTTTGCCCACCCTCCTATGTTCCCCCAATCCCCTTCTTCAGATTACAGTCCCTTCCTATTCTAGGTCACAACCAAAACCCCTGTCCTAGGTAATATCCCAAACCCTTGCATCCCAGGTAACAACCCATTTCTGACCTAGGTTAAAATCCAAACCCCAGTCCAGAGCCCCAGGTCACCATCGCCTCTTTCACCCAAACTCCTTCCCAGACCCCACACTTCCTCCTGCACCCCAGTCACTTATTCCAAGCTCTCTTCTGCACCCAACCTCCATCCTAGACTCTGCACGTCATCCATTAATGTCATGGAAGAGTGCAGTCCTTGACCACTTTCCAAATTCTTGGAGTGGCCCCCCCCATCAAAATTATTTCCCATTCCTGTTGTCTTGGTAATAATCATTGATGGGCCTTATCCTCCATTAATTTATCTAGTTCTTTTTTTGAACCCGTTATAGTCTTGGTCTTCACAACATCCTTTGTCAAAAAATTCGTAATTGTGTGAAGAAATATTTCCTTTTATTTGTTTTAAAACCTACTGCCTATTTAATTTGGTAACCCATAGTTCTTGTGTAATGAAATGGGGTAAATAGCACTTCCTTATCTATTTTCTCAGTACTAGTTATTATTTTATAGACATCACCCTAAGTCATCCCTTTTCCAAGTGAAAAGTCCCTGTCTTATTAAAGTTTCATCATATGGAAGATGTTTCATACCCCTAATTAATTTTTGTTGAATCATCATAAAATAGTTGCAGTAATATCTTAAGAATGTAAGAACAGCTATACTGGGTCAGACCAATGGTCCATCAAGTCCAGTATCCTGTGCAACCTCTGGCCCCCCATTCTTTCCCTGCAGCCTGATCCCCTACTTTGCCCCATGCCCCTCAGTGCAATCTCTGCACCCTCCCATCCTGCCCCTGGATCTTCCTTCACCCCCCTTCTTCATCCACATCCTTGTGCCCTTAGTGCACTCAAGTAGGGTAGCAGTGCTGGAGTGAAGAGAGGTGGTGCGGGACAGAATAGCCGTGCTGGAGTGAGGAGAGGCAGAGGGAGTAGAATTTCTTCCCTGCCCGGACCAGCTCTTTGCCTGCAGGCTGCAGGTCTGAGGCTGGGGCAGGCAGAGCCTGGTGCTGCCTAGGGCTGGCTCTAGCCTGGCTGGGTGTAGAAGTGCTCTGGAGAAGGGGCTCCTCATCTCTGCACACAGCCGGTGGGGAGCATACTGGGTCCTGGTGCCCCATGTGTGACTGGCCACCCAGCCCTACCCCCTCTCAAAGCAAGAAGGCTGTAGCCAGGAAGAGGTGAGGGTTAACCCCTTAGCTCCTGGAAGCTGCATGCACAGGCTGAGCAGGGGCAGCCCCAGGGACATGTGCATGCCTCTACCGCTCCCTCCCTCCAGCAGGAAGCCAGAGCTCGTGTTCCAGCCAGTAGCTGTGTGAATGAGGCTGAAACCAGAGCACACGCCCCTGGCTGCATGAAGGGGGAGAGGTGGGACTGAACTCCCACCACATGCGCCACGGGAAATCAGCTCACATGCCGATTGTGGCATGCATACTGTGGGTTGCTGAGCTGTGCTCTATCCTGTCTTTCCTTAGTCTCCTCTTTTCTAATCTTAAAAGTCCCATTTTTTTAATCCCGTTTGAAATCCCTAATAATTTTGTTCCTCTCTTCTGAACTTTTTCCAATGCCAATATATCATTTTTGAGTTGAGGTGACCACATCTTTACGCAGTATTCAAGATGTGAGCATACTATAGATTTATATAGAGGCAATAAGATATTCTTGTCTTATTCTCTATTCCGTTAAAATGATTCCTAATGTTCTTTTTGCCTTTTTCACTGCTGTTGCACACTGAGTGGATGTTTTCAGAGAACTATCCACAATGATTCTAAGATCTCTCTCTTGAGTGGAGATAGCTAAATTAGTCCCCAACATATTGTATGTATAGTTAGGATTATTTTTTCCAATGTGCATTACTTTACATTTATCAACATTCAGTTTTATTTGCCATTTTGTTGCCCAATCAATTAGTTTGGGGAGATCTTTTTGAAGCTATTCATAGTCTGCTTTGTTCTTAACTATCTTGAGCAGTTTAATATCATTTGCAGCTTTTGCCACCTCACTGTATACCCTATTCTTCAGATCATTTATAAATAGGTTAAGTAGGATTGGTCCCAGTACAAGATCCTTGGGGAACAGCATTAGTTACCTCTTTCCATTCTGAAAACTGACCATTTATTCCTACCCTTTGTTTCCTATCTTTTAACCAGTTATCAATCTATGAGAGAACCTTCCCTCTTAGACAACTAACTTTACTTAAGAACCTTTGGTGAGGCACCTTGCCAAAAGCTTTCTGGAAGTCTAAGTACACTATCCACTGGATCTCCCTTGTTCATTTAGTTTCTCCGCAATGATCTTATCATCTTTGAATGCTTCTTTAGCATCTTGATCGTCCAGTGACCCCACTGGTTGTTTAGCAGGCTTCCTGCTTCAGATGTACTTACACATTTTGCTATTACTTTTTGAGTTTTTGGCTAGCTGTTCTTCAAACTTCTTTTTGGCTTTCCTTATTATATTTTTACACTTAAATTGGACAGAGTTTGTTCCTTACTGTTTTCCTCGCTAGGATTGAACTTTGACTTTTTAAATGATGCCTTTTTATCTCTCACTGTTGTGTCTAATGCCCTTTTAAATACATGATATGCTGGATTGATTTGCGCTGCAGCATTTTGTCTAACCGAATATAAGGCATCTGAAGAAGTGGGTTGTGCCTACAGAAGTTCATGATACCATCTACATTGTTTGTTAGTGTCTAAGGTGTTGTTGGACTATTTGTTGTTTTTTAATTTTTTTCTGAATACAAGATAAGAGTGTTGGGTACTTCTGAATTCTAATCCCAGCTGTTGTCACTGACCTGCTCTGTAAGCTTTGATCAAGTAACTTAGTCTGATATTTTCAAAATTGGCCAGTAATTTTAAGATCCTTGAATTGAGACATCTTGGGCCTGATTTTTAGGAGTGTTATACACTCAAAACTCTAATTGAAATCAGTATAAATTGCTCAGCACCACTGAAAAACAAACTGTTAGTATCTCAGGGTGGACATGCATATTTGATTAGAGGACGCTTGAAAATTGTAAAATCTCTATTCCTTGGTTTCCTTATCCTTAAAACTGGGATAATAATGCCTATATCACAGAGTTCTTGTTAACTAGTTAATCTTTGATGATGCTGAACCCTATATAAAAGATATTCCAATATCAAACATATTCCGGAGTATCACAATGAATATTAGCAGTTCTGGAGTGTGTCAGTCTCTCTTATAATATTTATTTAATTTCCATTTGTGTCTCTGTATGCACATATAAAGAAATGGAAAAACATTTTCCAATCACTTTCCTACCTCCTGTAGAGATTGTCTGTTTCTTGAATTTTATGTTCTCTCCCTTGTAAATTCCAAACCTAAGTGAAAATATTACTTATGTGCAGATTTTTAAAAAGTTATTTTATTTAAATGTGGTGGCTCCTATGGTATATCTATATTTCTGAGCTTTTCACAATGTCCTTTCTTGTTTTTCTTTTTTGAACAGTTTACATTATCAAAATGCCTGGATGCAGTAATGGTGATGGGAAATTCACATCTATTTATGAATCGGAACAACAAACTTGCTGTAATAGCAAGTCATACACAAGAAAGGTACAGTAACTTTCTTATATCAGTGTAATTTTTATTTGTAAAACTTCCCATCACACATGTTTGTTTTGAATAGCTCAGTGTGCTGAAGAGAGTAATTCAAACCAAGGGTAAAATGTATGATCTATTAAATACCCTCTTCAGAAAACAAATTAGTAAAAACAGCAGGAGACAAGAGAGGGTTCTGGTTTTAGTGATTATTGAATGCAAAAGAAAATAAGAGTAAGGCATTATGAAAAGAAAAAGGTGAAGAAAAACAGCTTTTGAAATTAAAAATAATCTTTATTTCAAAATGGAGAGAGAGAGACTGGTAACAAAAGAGGTACAAGTTCCCTTCCTGGAGATTGTCAAAACAACACAGTGATTGCTGTGTTAAGAAATGAGGGGAAGATGGTTTCTGAATACTAGTTCCCAACAGGATGATTATCAAAGAGAAAGTATTTAATATTGGTGGGGCTTATAGCATTTAGGGTTTTGTAAACATGGTTCTTATGTAGTTAGGTTGTTAGTGTCCCCGGGCAGCAAGAATTATTAGGAATGAAATCTTGTTTGAGTGGTTCAATTTGTGGGTGTTCATCTATTTTGCTAAAAACAAATTATTAATACTATGCTGCTCTTTCTCGCTTTTAGTCGTTTCTTGTACCCTGGAAAACACTGGGCATTTGCAGATCTCTTTGGAGATGGTGGTAGTTTTGTTGAATCTGTTTGCTCTGGCAGCAAAGATGGTAAATACGAATTATTAACAGCAGGAAATGAAGTAATCACAGAGGAAATTAAAGACCTGATGACAAAAAGTAAGATGATCTTTTGTTAAAAAGTATAGCCATTTTGATTAATTTGGTTCCACATCCTCATTACTTTTTTTAAATTGCTATTAAAATATCATAAGACTGCGCATACTATGTCAAGCCAAAGGTCCATCTAACCCAGTATTCTGTCTTCTGACAATAACCAATGCCAGGTGCCCTAGAGTGAAAGAGTGATCCTTTCCCTATGACCCATTTCCAGCTTATAACAAACAGAGGCTTGTCCTCCACGAATTTATCTAGCTCTTTTTTAACCCTGTTATTGTCTTGGACCTCACAACGTCTTCTGGCAAGGAGTTCCACAGGTTGACTGTGTGTTGTGTGAAGAAATATTTATTTTTTGTTTGTTTTAAACCTACCTATTAATTTCATTTGGTGACACCTTGTTCTTGTAATTTACTCATTCCCATAACACTCTTCTTTATTCACTTTTTCCATAAGTCATGGTTTTATAGGCTTCTATCATATTCCTCTCTCCCCTTAATCATATTTTTTCCAAGCTGAAAAATCCAGTCTTTCTCACCTCTTCTCATATGTCAGCTGTTTCATACTCCTAATAATTTAGTTCCTCTTTTCTGAACTGTTTCCAATGCCAAGATCCTTTTTTGAGATGAGACGAGATGACTACATCTGCATGTAATAGTCAAGATGAGAGTATATCATGGATTTCTTATAGACACAGTAGGATATTTTCTGTCTTCTTGTCTATTCCTTTAATGATTCCCAACATTCTGTTTGCTTTTTTGACTGTTGGTATACATTGAATGGATGTTTTCAGAGAACTGTCCATAATGATTCCAATAACTCTCTCTTGAGTGGTAATAGCTAATTTTATATGTCAACTATATCATTTTATATGTATAGTTGGGATTAAGTTTTCCAACATGCACTCTTTTGCATTAATCAGCATTAAAATTCATCTGCCATTTTGTTGCCAAATCTCCTAGTTTTGTGAGACCCCGTTGAAGCTTTTCACAGTTTGCTTTGGGTTTTATACTTTTAGCAGTTGTCACCTCACTGTTTATCCTTATCTCCAGATAATTTATGAATATGTTGAATAGAATTGGTCCCAATACAGACCGGGACACCACTAGTTACCTCTCTCTACTCTGAAAACTTAGCATTTATTCCTAATCTTTATTTCCTATCTTTTAACCAGTTATCACTCCATGAGAGGACCTTCCCTCTTATCTTTCTTAGATGTCATGGGATACTAGTTTGCAATGTTATGTGAAAAGGACATTGCTAAGGAGATGAAGTTCCACATTTTATCTCTTTATAATCTATATTATTATAAAAGGAGAGTTGTCCATCATGCCATTTGTCACAGAGAACGTTGGAGAATACACAGGAATACACTGGAAGGCCTCCGCGACTCCCCCTTCTCCTCCCACGTGTCATGTGAAAAGTGGCACGCCTCCCCCCCACACCCAAGTGGAATGTGTCTTGAAAAGCAGTACAATGGTGGCGTGCAGAATAAAAATGCAAGTGGCTGCCAGTAAGTCAGTTGGTGAGCTGTGTGGTGGCAGAGTGGGGGAGGGAAGAATAAATAGGGTAGGTAGGGCTTTGCTGATGGCTTCTGTTTCTTTCTCCCACACCCCTGCACTGAAGTGGGATGTGAAAAGCATCACATATTCCTCCTGCACAAAAGTGGGACATGAGGCTTGAAAAGCAACACAATGGAAAGTGCGGGAAAAAAATATAAGTGGCGGGACTTGGTACCTCCCAAGCAAGTGGCCAGCAGGTATGGCGAGGAGCTAGCAGCAGTAGTGGTACAATGCACCTGGGGCCCTGCATTGCTCCTGTGTCCTGCAGGTGGCCTGTCTGGCAGGTGGGGATAGCAGGGGCAGCAGAGTACAGCAGGAGGCAGTGCCTCACAGTCCATTGAGTAGCTGCTGCCGTGGCACAATGAATGACTTAAAGAGACTAGGACTTTTCAGCTTAGAAAAGAGGAGACTAAGGGAGGATATGATAGAGGTATTTAAAATCATGAGTGGTGTGGAGAAAGTGAATAAGGAAAAGTTATTTACTTGTTCCCATAATATAAGAACGAGGGGCCACCAAATAAAATTAATCGGCAGCAGGTTTAAAACAAATAAAAGAAAGTTATTCACACAGCGCACAGTCAACCTGTGGAACTGCTTGCCTGAGAAGGTTGTGAAGGCTAGGACTATAACAAGGTTTAAAAAAGAGCTAGATAAATTCATGGAGGTTAAGTCCATTAATGGCTATTAGCCAGGATGGATAAGGAATGGTGTCCCTAGCCTCTGTTTGTCAGAGGGTGGAGATGGATAGCAAGAGAGAGAACTTTGGCCACTGTCGGCGGACAGGATACTGGGCTGGATGGACCTTTGGTTTGACCTAGTATGGCCATTTTTATGTTCTTCTCCAAGTGGCACGTTGGTCCTAAGGAAAAAAAGAAGTGGGAGATGCTGTGAGCAGTGGAGCTGGTGGTAAATCCCTGACTACTGCGCTCTACCATCTCTCCCTTGGCCCCCCAAGTCAATGTCCCCCGGGTCTTCCTGTGCCCTACCTCTCCCCCCTTCATGCCGCTTACTTGCCTGCCCTACATTACTGCCACATCATCCTGTCTCTGCCGCCTCTCAGCCCGCTGCACTGAAGCCATGAGACAGGGCTTGGCTAGTGGTTATAATGTACTTGGGAGCTGGGTTGCTAAGACAGGTGTACAGCTGGTTAGAACACACATGAAACATGTTGTCCTATTCTAGGCAGCTGTATACCAGAAAGCTTTAATGAAGCTGGAGGGAGGGGCAAAAGAAACAAAAAACAAAATTAAAGGATTTATTTAATAAAGATTGAAATAATTAAGGTCATGATGCCTGTCTACAGATCTCAGTGAAATAAAGGAAATCCCTTAGCCTAATATGAATAATTACAAAATCACTGGTAAGAGCCCTAGCAACTGATGGAAGCTTCTTTGCATTTTTCTTCTGAAGTTTATTCTCCATCACTCCATAGTTTATTAATGTGCAAGAATTTGCTTCAGGTCAGTGGGATACTGAATTATTTAACCTCTATTTAGGCCTATGTTTTAATGTTGTTTGCTCAAGACACAATTCAGGTTAAAGCTACAAGGAGTGCTGTGGCACCTTATAGACTAACAGATGTATCGGAACATAAGCTTTCGTGGGCAAAGACCCACTTCATCAGATGCATGCTTATGCTCCAATACATCTGTTAGTCTACAAGGTGCCACAGGACTCCTTGTCACTTTTACAGATCCAGACTAACATGGCTACCCCTCTGATACTTGAATTCAAGAAATGTTTAGTTTTCAAATACTTTGTACAAAGATAATGTCTGTATATTTTTTGTGTTATAGCTGACATGAAGGGCCAGCAAACAGAAACTTTGTTGGCTGGATCCCTTGCCAAAGCACTTTGTTGTATCCTTTTTAATATTGGAATTTTCAAAATCTGTCTGTCTTATTTTTGAACCCTTTGTAGTAGCATTCTATGTTAGAATATTGTTAGTTTATTATGGTAAAGTTATGACTTATGAGTATAATACCATCAGATCAGAAAGTTCAGTAAAGTGTTGATAAAAGAGGGTAAAATAGTTAAGTGCCAGTCATTCATTTTCTGTCTATTTTAATGTGTTTTGGAAAGCTTAGATCTGTTTCTCAGATGTTCCTAGAATAAAACGTTTCCTGAATATCAAGTGTAATAGATATCCACAGGATGAACAAGGAAGTAAAAGGTATGTGTCTTTTTTTTCTACTGGAATATTTACCTGAGTTTGCAGGGGTGTGTCTGTGTGTGAGGGGAAGGAAACATACTGAACTTTTCTCAAATGGCAGCAGTGGGAAGTACTGCTTCTGCTAATCATTTAAACCTGCCAAATTTGAGTCCTGATTGAAGATTGGTATTATAGGAGTTGACATGTGTAACAGGATGTGCTGAGTCAGGAGCTAATTAAGCATCTTATCACTGTAATACCCATAGTGTATATTAAGTGGGACCTAACAGAAAGACAGGTAGTTAGAAAGAAGGTGTCAATTAACTGAATAACTTTACAACTGAGGGGCTAATGGAAGTAGATGGGTTATATAAATTGACAAGAAGGAAGAGTGGGGACCTTGAAGAAAGGCTGAAATGGGCAGAACTAGGTGCTGCTAGTGCTGTTCTCTTCCCTAGAGGCAAATGGGGCAGCTGGCTATGAAATGTAAACACGTGTAAGTAACACTGCAGACTGTGACCTGCTGAAAGACTATAAGAAAGCTCGATATAGGTGAAGGAAACCTGGAGTAGTTGTGGTCTATGATTAAGGCCTAGAATGACTCTTGGGGGATCACCTCATGACACTGTCATTAAGTTGATTTTTGTGACAGCAAATTAATACATCCATTTTTGTTGGTGATTTTGAGATGTGGACATCTGTGCACTGAACTGAAATTACAGACCAGAAACCCTTTAGGATGACTGTCACATGCTCGTGACTTGGCCTGTTTTTGAACCAGTGAACTATCAATGAGAGATTGGAATTCCCTTGCTTTGCACCAGCAGGTTGCTTTTTGAGACTGAATGAATGCCATGGTATCTGCTTTCACACCAGTGCAGAACTGAACTAAGTCTGCTGTTGTTTATCAGATTTTTCTTTCTTGTTCTTTTCATGATGCTTGGTCTTCTCAATATACCAATAAAGCAGTTTCTCCTGTACCTGCTTAAAGTGAGAGGTGTAAATGTATACTATACAATTGCAAAAAAAATAAAAAACTGGAGGCTAATCTATGGAGTAAGTGTGAAACTCTAATGCCTGTTTCTTTATCTCTAATATGTAGCCAACCAAGAAATTAAATCAAGAATTTTGGTAAGAGCTTCTGTATTTAAATTTTTAATGAGCCTTGAAATCCAGTAATAGTATTATTGTGTAGGCTAACAGGTGTCAATTGCTTTACCTAGATCATAAAAGCTTCAGAAGACAGTGCTTTACAATATATGAATTTCATGAATGTGATCTTTGCAGCACAGAAACAGGTGAAGTTATTTTATTGTGCTAAATTTTCAATTACTTCAATATTAATATGTAAACACAAGGTTGACTATCTCCATTCTCTGAGCATCATCTTGCTATGGAAGGAGACAGTCAAGTTAAAATGTAGATCCAGGTCACCACACTGTAACAGCAAATGGTCACCACTTCAGTCCCAAATGACTGCTGAACTGTACCTGCTATATCTTAGAATTAGATACTACATATTAGGTAAGCTTCATCTGCGGTCCTTCCCATATTGTCAGTTATTGGACAGGGAAGGCTGGATGATGTGGTATGTGCTATGGTTAAAGAGAGAGACTGTTTTTGGGGCTGAAGGCCCATAGTCTCAGCAGTCTGTTCATATGTGACATACAACTGAAATAGATCTCAGCAGTAATGCTAATGGAGAGTTATATTTATTGTAGTACTATAATTTCCATTTTCTATAAGCCTCATCTTTTTGGTTTCAGAATATTTTAATTGATGCCTGTGTTTTGGATTCTGATTCAGGACTTCTGCAGCAGGTATACTATAAATATTTTTATTACTCATTGTTTATGTTGGGTCAAAGGCAGGGATGTTAAGTACCCGTTAATTAAGTAATTGAGTAGTCGATGGATTAGTTGATGGGGGGGAGGTGCTCCTGCTGCAGCTTTGCACTTTAAGGGTGTGTTTAGACTACAGGTTGTTGTTTTTTAAAGTGACCTTTTTTTGAAAAAACTTCACCTGCATCTAGACTGCTGCTGCGTTCTTTTGAAATTAAATAGAAAAAACCAGCAGTTTTTTCGACTGTGGAAAACCTCATTTTACGAGGAATAACGCTTTTTTTCAAAAGTTCTCTTTTGAAAAAAGGCGTTATTGAACACACATCGTGCTTTTTTGAAAGAGAGCATCCAGACTGCCTGGGTGCTGTCTTTCGAAAAAGTGTCTCTCTCTTTCGAAAATACTGGTTGCTGTCTAGACGATCTCTTTCAAAAGAAACTTTTTTGAAAGATTCTTTCGAAGAAGCCTCTTTTGAAAGAGGCTTGTAGTCTAGACATAGCCTAAATGTAGTAAGAACTGTTCCCTATTTATCAAACACTGATTGCTGGAAACTATTGCCCTCCTTCCACGGATAAAAATGTGTTGAGTAGACAGTGGTTTTGGTAGTATATGTGGATCAAGAATCTTAAAGTAGTATAGGACAAGAAACTATTTTTATTTATTTTATATAAATTGTTCTCTCCTTAATCAATAATCAGTTTTAAAATCTCAACTGTAAATCAGACAAAAAATATTTTCAGGTGTATAAGCAATGTAAGAACAGCTATTGTTTCTTTAAGAAACTTATTAAAAATAAAGTTGGCTGTATATCTAAGATTGAGGTCCATCAATAGCTACTTGTTTCTAACATTTTTCCCTTATTGCATTACTAAAGAGAGGAAAGACATTTTCTTGCTCATCTCTCTCATCATGCAGAATCCTTCCCTTTTAAGTTTCCCTTGTTCAAAACCCAGGGATAGAAATATCTGGGATAAACAACTTCTTTGGGATCTGAAATCTGTGGGACTTGAAAAATGTGTGGCGCTTTTTTTTAACCTTTCCGTAGCATGTAGTAATTTCTGTTCACGTTTGTGTCAAATTGTTCCTATGGTAAGTGTTTGCATCATGTGCTTTCCAGGCTTGTGACATTACAGGAGGCATATATTTGAAAGTACCCCAGATGCCATCACTTTTACAGTATTTACTGGTAAGTTAACTTGAGGGCTGTTCCTGCTCTTGTTGAACTCAGTTGTAAAATTCCTCTTGACTTTGTTGAAAGCAGGACCAGACTCTTTGAGCTGACACGGAATTGAGAGTTGGGAATTTTGACTGATCAAAGTGATCCAGCTATTTGATCTACTATTTCAGTATTCGCTGCAGCAGGAGATAATTGATAAGCATCGCAAGGGACAGGCTTTGCTGGAGGGCTTTCAGACTTGGCTTGTGTAATTAGGTATGATGCTTCACTTTGGTGAAGGGAAACCCTAGTAGAAGACTGGAAAATCGGACAAGGGGAAATATCTCTCATAGTATTTAAGAATATCACTTATCTGAAGTGCTGATGCATAAGATTGATTTTGCATGTAGAGACTTGGTGGGAAATGACAATATGATAAGCTTTTACTACTGGGTTGTTGGTTCCACTCCAGGCCAGGCTGGTAATAACTGAAAGTTACAGATAACTGATGGCTGTTCTTTGGTGTATTTGAAATGAATTGATTTAGTCCAATTCCTAGTGGACAAGTGCTAATAATGCAGAACCCATCAAAATTTGACAACAACTGGCAATCTGGTTAGTATTTGCAGTATAATATCCAGTGACTGAATGGACCATGATGACTGAAGAATTCTCTTGCCTGCAGAGGTATTTGCAGCAGAATAGAATTTCAGACATGATGGTGGTAGTAGGAGGGAGTGAGGAGCAGCGAACCTTCCATGACTATTCTTTATTGGTTCTGTGGATACATTTTTTTATTTCTCTCTGGAGGTATAATTCTGGCACCTCTGTCCCCATTAAACTCACATATGGTTCAAATTGATGTTGAATGAATTGTAATATCTTAAAATGACTTGATTTTTAAAAGAGCATTTTTTATTTATTGCAATATGAGTATAAAAACATTTCCTGGAAGGTAAATGAGGACAAAATTCCCTTCTTGCTCAAATTACTTAATGACTTGGTACAGTCATAGAGGCGAGTTTCTTTGGCAGATGGGAAGGTAACTTTTTTCTCTGCAGTAATTTTGGTATATATAGCAAAGCGTACTTTAACATAATAGTTTCCTCCCAGATTCTAAAATTCCCCTCTCTTTAATTTATACAGTGGGTATTTCTTCCTGATCAAGACCAAAGATCCCAACTAATCCTTCCACCCCCCATTCATGTTGACTATCGAGCAGCTTGCTTCTGTCATCGAAATCTCATTGAAATAGGCTATGTCTGCTCTGTGTGTTTGTCAAGTAAGTTTTACAAATATATTTAACAGAACTGACCTAATTTCTCTTGTTTCAAGGTAATTATTTTAGTGAAATTGACCTATTCTTTTATTTTCCAGTATTCTGCAACTTCAGCCCTATATGTAGCACATGCGAGTAAGTGCTTTTCTTGATTTTTGTTTGCTTATGTAGGCTAAATGTAGAAATATATTTAGCATATCTTATTTTTAATTTCTTGTATTTCAGGACTGCTTTTAAGATTTCATTACCACCTGTCATGAAGGCCAAGAAAAAGAAACTAAAATTAGCTGTATAACAAAGTTATAAAAAAACACCATTACTTCTTGCATGTACCTGGAGTTGGTGGCATTTTTATAAGGTGAAATAAATTGTTCACATTGTACAAATCTACATTGCTAAACATTTAAAAACATCAAAGAGGTTGTATGCACCTTCCTTGTAAATAGCAGATGGTTGTATTGGTGCATGGTTTGTATGATTTTAAAATCAAATCTCCTATTTGACCATTAGGAGTCAGAAACTGCTGCTTGTATAAGCAGAAGATGCCCTCACCATCATAAAACAACACAGCATCCCTAATTCTGTTTAGAGTCAGAGGCAGAATGTAAATACTTAGGCCCTGCTCCTGCATGCATGGTAAAGGTAAGCATGGTCATATGTGCTTTGCAGGATCCATGCTGTAGTGGATTCTGCAGCTCTCTTTAGTACAATTTGTCATTTAGTTTTATTTGGGATGAGGCAAATTTTTGATATTTTTCCTTCCCTCTTCCCACTAAATTATTCCTTTTTAGTGGGCATTATCTGCTTTGTGTGTAATTCTTTGCTCACTTTGGTATCTTCTCCCAAAACAAAAGTAAACACAAAATTATTCATTTGAATAATCTATTAACGTTACAGAGATAAGTAATTTTCCTTTTAAAGTTTAATAAAAGAAAAATCTAGTATTTATTTTTCATTCATGTTTAAGGATTTAAGATATTTTGAAACTGGAAAACAGTTTAAATCTCTGGAATCTGATAGCAAGTTTCTTTTTTTAGGTTTGACTAATACCACGGAAAGATAATGTAGGAAGGCCTCTGTTATGAATTGATTTTTCCCTCTATCTCAGCAGGTGAATGCATGGTGCATGTTCTCAGTTTTCCAAATGTTATGTTTAAATCAAACAAACAAAAATCCCTAGTTTTGAATTCCTAACTGCATCTTTTGGTGTTTTAAATTACATTTAGTAATTGCTGTAGTAATCAGAGGCAATATGGGAATGTTTTCTAAATAGAAAACAGGATTGTAGATAAATTCTTTTTTAATGGTATATACAGGAGATGATTTATAGTATTTTCATCAGGTTAGATTGGGAAACCATTTTATTGAAAATGCTAATATTTTACTGGCTTTTTTTTTTAAATCAATTTTATGTGAAAACTGTATTTATAGTTTGTTTTTTATAAATATTTGTAATAAAGTGACTTTTTAAAAAAGTTGCCTCTTTTCCTTTTTTAGTCTCCCTTTGAAATAATCTTAAAGGTAAATTCAAAAATTAATTGAGAATCTAAACCAGATAAGGTATCTTACATACTGTTAGGCTACATCTATACTGCGCTGTCTTGCTCAAGAAAATATGCAAATGAGACAAAACGGTGAATATTGCTGCACCTCATTTGCATACTTAATGAGCCGCCATTTTGCGCAAAAAGGAGCTGTCTAGACTGTTCCTTTTTGCACAAAACCCCTTTCACAAGAGCAGTTCTGCTGGGTTTTTTAGGAAGAACAGCTCTTGTGCAAGGGGGTTTTGTGCAGAAAGGAGCGGTGTAGATGGCTCCTTTTTGCGCAAAAGCCCCTTGCGCAAAATGGCGGCTCATTAAGTATGCAAATGTGTAGCGATATTCACCACTTTGCCTCATGCGCATATCGCGGTGCGCAAGAGAGCATCATATAGATGTAGCCCTGATGAATATTTTAGCCTTAAACATGCTTCAATATGTACAACTAAGAGGGCAATATGGTCTATTGCAATCTAAAATTAGGCGTGGTTTTTAAACTCTAAGTAGTACAGGCAGTTCCTGGGTTACATGGATCTGACTTACATCGGATCCCTACTTACAAACGGGGTGAGGCAACCCCGCACTAGCTGCTTCCTCCCAGAAGACCAGGGAGACGTGAAGCTAGCGCCCCCCTCCCCCCCCTCCAGCAGACCAGGGAGACGCGGAGCGGCTTTTCTCAGCAGACACCTCAGCTTGAGAATAAAGGACTGAGGGAAGTGAGGTGTGCGAGAATAAAACTGAGCTCTGGAGAAATGTTTGACTAGAGTTTCCCCTACAATATGTACCAGTTCCGACTTACATACAAATCCAACTTAAGAACAAATCTACAGTCCCTATCTTGTACGTAACCCGGGGACTGCCTGTATTAGAATACCTACTTATACAGGGCCATCTTTACTCATATGCAGAATATGCAGCTGCGTAGGGCACCCAAAAATTTGGAGCATCACTGGATATTCATGTCTACCCGGCTGCTTTTCCTATCACTGGCCTGTGGCTCTGCTTCCTCAGGAGAGAAATCAGTTAACTTAACTCTGAAAAAGCTGGCCAGGCCAGATGTATTGGTAGAACATGTAATCTGTGAAAGTGGCAATGAAGCCAACCCCAGGTAAATAGACTTGTCAGTTTCTGAATGTACTGTATTAGTCAACAGGATCTGAGTATGAAATTAGCTTAAAGCCTATTTAATTAGCAGGCCCATACACAGGAATTTCTGTGCGTGAGGGCATGAGTGGTGGGCATGGCTGGTGGCAGCCCTTGCTGTGGGGGCTGAAAATCAGCTCCAGCCTTGCCCTGGCCTGCTGGAGCACAGAGAAGGGAAGTTGGACAACATGCTGCTCCAACCTCATGCTTACTTAGAGGACTATGAGCGGGAGGAGCCTTTGCACCTTTTGCCCCCCCTTGCATAAAGGCATGATTAGTGTGTTGCCCAAGATTACAAAATTGCATCTCTAAAAAAAATCATCATTCCCCTCTGTTCCGCCCCCAGGCTGTGTCTAGCTGGCAAGTTGGAAAAACTTGCCAGCTGTCTACACTGGCCGCTTGAATTTCCTCAAGAACACTGACGATCCCATGTAAGAAATCAGTGCTTCTTGCAGAAATACTATGCTGCTCCTGTTTGGACAAAAGTCCTTTTGCGCAAAAGGGCCAGTGTAGACAGCTCAGATTTGTTTTGTGCAAAAAAGCCCCGTTTGCGAAAATGGCGATCGGGGCTTTCTTGCGCAAAAGCGTGTCTAGATTGGCATGGCTGCTTTTCTGCAAAAAGTGCTTTTGAGGAAAAGCGTCCTGCCAATCTAGACGCTCTTTTCCGCCAATGCTTTTAACGGAAAACTTTTCCGTTAAAAGCATTTGAGCCCCACTGTTGTCTGGTTTCATAGTACTGTGTGGAGTCCCATAAACCCTAAGGACAGCCCTGACGGGATACCTATCTATTTAGGCCTCAGCAAGATGCCCTTACAGGAGCTCGACAATTTTACAACTGCATAAAACATCAGCAAGGCCTCTGCTGCGAAGCCATTTGCCTGCCCCACGAGCTCTGCAGAGGGGGAGCTGCTTTGCTAGGTCATGGCCGCTCACGTGGGGCCGCTATTCCACCAGCTTCAGGTCCAGACGGACTAGCGCCCCGC